TTTTCATGCCTGATGAAAAGGTGCTTGTTAGAGCCCTGAGGTGCCAGGGGCTCTTCTCCCACCCCTTTTCTCCCCCCCAGCTAATGCTTTGGCCGCTGCCTGCACCCCATGATTGCCTCTGTGAGGCATCACTGCCACCGCTACCGCCATCAGCCAGGAGAGCTCGCACCGAGACAGGGATGCCCACCCCTGCCAGCCCCCCATGGGTGTTGGAGGCAGAAGGTGGGAAGGCAGAGATGGGTGAGCCATTCAAAGTCGGAACGCAATTGCTCCCCACGCACACCCAACTGGACGCCCCTTTCCCACCCTGAGACAAGGAAGGGGTCAACCTTCACAATACCCGAGTTGCTGCCAATGCACGCAGACAGCCAACAAGCCCACTGCATCGCAGTATCAGGCCAGGACATCAGACTGGGAGGGAGGCCCGGGCCTCCCACCTGGCAGACACACGTACAGAAATCCTGCGGCAGACACAGCTTTGCAGCCGAGCGATCTCCCGGAAGGCAAAAGCAGGGGAGCAGTCATTTCCCCCTCTCCCTGTCCCAGAGGATGGTGGCAAGCTGCAGGGTGTTAGCTCAGTTCACATCCTTGTGGAAGCCTCACGCAGTTGTGCCCTGGAGTTCTGTCCTTGGCTCAGTCAAGGCCACCCTGACGTCCCTTGGGTGCACGCAGACTCTGCAGGGCTGGGGTCCACAGCAGTGTGGCAGGCAGTGGAGCCAGCTCCTGCCAGGGACCCTGCCCGTCCCCACCACCCAGGCACCAAGGGGACCTGGGGGAATAGGCGAGAGAGGCTGGGGGCACCCAGGCACCCATGCCTGCCAGGGTGCATGGTGACAGGGACACCCTCTTTCTGGGAGAGGACAGAGACTGCGGAGGTGCTGTCATGGAGGGGCCTCCATCCCCTCTGCAGCCCCTCCCTGCCAGTTCCAAGGGCCATGGGGCAGGACCACCCTGCTGCCAGTCAGGGAGAGACAGAGCAAGGAACCTCGTGACTGGTGCAGAACACTGGCTGGGTCCCACCTACTGCCTGCTCTGGGGGAGGGGAGAAGGCATCCTTAAAGGGCCAACCCAGGAAAATGCTGGACAAGTGGATTCCCCGGCGTCCAGAGACCCATACCTGCTTGCACTCATTCCCCTAGGGCTTCCAACGGTGCCACCAGTGGGAAGCTGTTGCAGTAACCTTGACATGTGCCCTGTCCCCATCCCAGCAGGGCCCCAAACAGCACAGCTGGGTGACGACATTGCCACTGGCAACATGGGGTGCTGCACCCCTGGGAATGGGTTTGATGCTGCTGCGATGCCTCAGCAGAAGCCCCCTGTGAAGCCCACATGGTCTGGGACAACCCGCTCAGTGTCCCGAGGTGGCTCAGTCACCAAGGGGCTGGAGCAAGGGACAGGCTTCACATGGGGGATCCTGCTGTTGCTTGGGTCCATCCTAGACGCCCCATACCCTTCCTGCCTTGCCACCATCCCCATCCCAAGCTTTGGCACCCTCTGTTCCAGAGGGCTAGAGCTCACCCTGTGGAAAGGCTCCGACCCAGATGACCCAGGGAGCTGAGGTATCACTGGAGATCCTGGAGGGTAGGATGTCTCATGGCAGGACATACCACCTACCACAGATGGGGCCAGCACCATCCCCACTGCATCTTTTTTGGGGTCTGGCTGTTGCCCTCCACAGCAAAGAGGTCTGAAGCCTTTGCAGGCTTGACACCATCTGTGGCATTGAGCTGGATCTTCTTTGACCACAAAGACTGAAAATCTAGGACCCAGAGCCAGCCCAGCTGTTTTTTCACTGCCAGTGCTTTTCCAGTGTAGTACTGGGGAGTAGTGGGGAGCCATGGCTAGGGCTTGGGCTTACTGCCTGCCTGTTATCACCTCCTTCCATCCCCACTCTCAAATCATTTCCTGCCCCCATCCCCAGAGGCGTCTTGCCAGGACCCTTTGGTGGAGGGGACATCCTTGTCCCCAGCTGTAGCATGACCCACACAATGCAGAGGAACACTTGCTCCTGCAGCTGCTGCAGCCATTCCCACCTGCCACAAATCAGAAGTGCTGAGTCTGAGCAGCGACGCAAGAGGCGAAAAAAAAAAAAAGGCATAAAATAATTCTGGGAGGTTTCTGCCTCTGCCTGTGATTCGGCCACAGCAAGCAGGCGGCACCCGTAGCCCCACACCCATGCACAGCTTCCGCTGCACCTCACTTCCTTCTGCTCTGAGGAACCGGTTGCTCCTACTCACAGCCTCCCGGGAAGGGACACATTACCGGCACCAACCACCTTGGAAACCCACCAGATCCTCCCCCCACCTCTGCTGGATCCACTACCTGGCCTTACCTCTGAGGATCGAAGCATTCCTGTAATTGAAAGCTCTCAAATTAAGCTGCACAATTCCCACTGGGGAAGAAGCACAGAAGCTGCCTGCCATGCGCAAACGCCTTCCTGGCTGCAGTTTGTTCAGTCAGGACATTAGACATCGCCCGGAGATAGCATATTACAAATGGTGCAGGGCTTGTAATAAGGTTGGTAAAACAACACCTGGGTGGAGGACTTCCCATCCTGCTCAGAGCCACCGTCCAGCTCAGCGGAGCCCTGGAAGCAGCTGGGGTAGTTTGCAATCCCACCCCCCCACTCCGAAGCGAACATCATCAAAAAACTTCCATGGAAACAAAACTGAAACCATCAAGAGTCAAACATGAAGTGAGACACGGACAGGAGGGACTGCTCTGTGGTCACAGTCTGTCAAACAGAGGAATCAGCATCATCCTTCAGCTTTGCCTGCTACACCGTGAGAAGCGACACCCCGATCCCCCACTGGCAGCTGGTGGCTCCCAGCCCCACTTGCACCACCACCTCCCCAGCCCACACCGGTGCACAACGCAGAGAGACTGTGTTCCCCTCCCAGTGCCTGACCTCTCAGGTGCTCCCCTCGGCTCTCATTTTGCAAAGGGAAGAAAATACTATTAGCAGCAAACTTTCTGCTGAGGATTTGCAAGTGGTTGCAAGCTGACCTCAGCCTCCGCTGGTTACTCGCGCAAGGCGTACTCAAAACTGCATCTGAAAGACATATGTTCGCTAATCTGAGCAAACAGATTCTCTTGACCCTGCTCACCACGATGCAAATGTCATTGACACTCAGGACGGCTCATTTGACTGAAGAAGACCTGTCCAGCTAACCACTCTTTAGAGGCATGGCGCGACTGGATATTCCCCCCCAACCCCAACCCGCTACCATATGTGTATGGCACAAATGAACCACGGCTCTGCCCGGCACCGAGACATGCCAAGGAAGGAGCTACATTACCTCGGCAGGGGTGGGGAGCCGGCCGGCGGTGCCCACAATCTGGTGGTACAGCCCTGGCTCACCATTCCTCATGGTGCTCTGGCGGCTCCCCAGGGGGCTGGAAGTGAAGGGCTTTTTACACAGGAGATCACTCTGGCGAGAGTCTGTGGTGAGATAGACCTGGTGGTAGAAGTTGGGTGGCGTGAAGCCACCCCGCACAGCATCAATGTGGTGGAAGGGCCCTGGTGTCCTGTACAGGGTGCTCCTGGAGCTGTTGAACAGCTCCTTTGACTGCCTCCACTTGTAGCACTTGAAGATGCCCACTGACAACATGGTGATGAAGAAAGCTGCTGATACCAAAATCACAGCCAGGATAAGATAGAAAGTCACATGCCTCCTGGGATCATTGGCAGGTGCCACATCAGTGAGGTCAGTGAATACCTCCTTGACTATCTCGGCCACAGAGATGGAGACAGTGGCACTGGTGGACAGCACAGGCTCCCCATGGTCTAAGGATGAGTAGTGTGTGCTGGGGAGGCTCATCCTCCCGGAGCTGGCGGGCTGTGAAGATCTCCCCGCTGTGCAGCCCAACTGAGAAGAGGCTGGGGTCAGTGGCCTGCAACAGGGTATAGGAGATCCAGGCATTGTACCCTGCATCTGCGTCCACCGCCACCACCTTGGTGACCATGTGCCCGGCAGGAGTGCCTGGTGCCACCACGTCGGTATAGGTGGCGGTGGTGTTGGGGTGAGGGTACAGCACAGTTGGGGCATTGTCATTGAGGTCAGTGACAAACACACTGACTGAGACATTAGTGGCCAGAGGCGGAGAGCCGCCATCCTGGACCTGCACCATCATGCTGAATTCCACCTGGTCCTCGTGGTCCAGGGAGGTGAGCAGGTAGAGGGTGCCGTTCTCCCGGTTGATGGAGAACATGTGGCCTACAGTGGGGTCACCCTGCAAGAGGGTATAGGAGAGATGGGCGTTACGCCCAAGGTCTGGGTCTGTGGCGCTCACGTTAAGGATGGGGATGCCAGGCACGTTGTTCTCCAGCACATAGACATCATAGGAGTCCTGGGAAGACTTGGGCGCATTGTCGTTGACATCTGACACCTGCACCAGGATCTGTTTTACCGCAGACAACGGTGGTGAGCCCGAGTCCCTGGCTGTGATAGTGATGTTATACTCCGATGCCTTTTCCCGGTCCAGAGCTGCTTTTGTTTTCAGTGTGTAGTAATTTTTGAGGGAGGAGCTTAGCATGAACGGGATCCCAGAAGAAATGAAGCAGTTCACCAGACCATTATCATGGGAGTCCAAGTCCGTTACGCTCAGCAGAGCTACAACTGTCCCTGGGGCTGCATCTTCAGGCACGGGGCTGTACACAGAAGTCACTGTCACCTCTGGAGCGTTGTCATTCACATCCACAACTTCCACCAGCACTTTGCAATGAGCCACGCCAGGAACGGCGCCCTTGTCTTTAGCCTGTAAGTAAATCTCATACAGCTTCGTTTCCTCATAGTCCAGCTGCCCCTTGACCCTCAACTCCCCTGTGGCCGAGTCCAGAGCAAAGAGTTCTCGTACCTTGGCGGGTGTGTGGCTGCTGAAGGAATAGACGATGTCTCCATTGGGCCCATCATCCAGATCGTACGCACTGATCCTGGCGACCAGGGTACCACTGGGCGTGTTCTCCCTCACGCTTGCCTTGTAGGTGGACTGGTTGAAGACTGGGGCGTTATCGTTGGCGTCGACAACGTCAATGTGGATCTGCACGTGGGCCGACCGTGGTGGGCTGCCTCCATCCAGCGCGGTCAAGACCAAGCGCAGCTCCCGTTGCTCCTCCCTGTCCAGCTCCTTCTCTAGCACCAGCTCTGCGTACTTGCTGCCATCCACCCTCGTCTGCACGTCGAGCACAAAGTGCGGGTTGGCGCTGAGCTGGTAGGTCTGCAAAGAGTTAATCCCTACATCGGGATCTTGCGCGCTCTCTAGCGGGAAGCGCGCTCCAGCCGCCACCG